GAGCTCCTCCTCCTCCTCCTCATCCTCCTCCTCCTCCTCCTCCTCATTCTCCTACATCTGGTGGTGGTGGTGTAAAATCGGCCTATCGAGGAGGACCGCCGCTCTGCTCTCGTGCTGGCTGGGCAGCTCCCTGGGAGCGCGGGGGGGGCCCTCCCCGCGGAGGAGATCTGCGGCCCGCTTCGGTGCGGTGGCTCGGGTGCCCTGGCAGGCACCCGCAGGGCGCAGCCGTGGCCCGAGGTCCTGGTCGGCACGAGGCGCCCGCGGTGGGGGCCACCTCTGCGCGAGGCTGCACATGAGGCGGCGGTCGGGTCCTCGGAGCCCCCTCGGCTCTCGCAGCCCAGCGGGGGAAGGATTCCCCCCCATGGCCACCCCCTTTTGGAGTGGCTCCGCTTGGCCGCCTCCCTTCAAGCCATGGCGAATCTGGGCCCCAGCTGGGCCCAGGCAGGTCGCTTCAGGGCAGGGCATTTTCTGGAACGCGCCAGAGGAAATCCAGTTGCCTGCCACAAGTCCCGCCACCGTGCCAGCTCAGCATTTCTGGGTGGCGACTGTTTGCGGGGGCGCGGGAGGCCGTCACTTGTTACACCTCGTGTCTCCAGGCTTGGCGGAAGTCCTAGCCGGGTTCTGCAAGTGCTGCCGCCCGAGCTCGAGGCGGGGCGGGGTAGCAATGTCAGCACCTGTTCCTCCCCGTCGGCCGGAGGCCGTCTGCGGGAAGGCGAGTCGCGGTAGCCGCCGATCTTGCGACCGCAGGCGTGTCTTGCTTCAGCGGCACACCCAGGGTCCCTGCCCAAGTAGCACACTCAGCCTGTGTTTCTGTCCGAGTGGCGGAGCCAGGATTGTAGGATCCCTGCATGAGTGGCAAACCCAGGGTCCCTGCTCGAGTGTCAAGCCCAGAGTCCCTGCCAAAGTGGCACACTCAGCTTGTGTTTCTGCCCGAGCGGCGGATCCAGGTGTTTAGGGTCCTTGCCCGAGTGGCAATCGGGTCCCCGCTCGAGTGGCAAACCCAGAGTCCCTGCCCGAGTGGCACATTCAGCTTGCGTTTCTGCCCGAGTGGTGGAGCCATGTGTTTAGGGCCCCTGCCCGAGAGGCGAACCCACGGTCCCTGTTCGAGTGGCAAACCCGGGGTACTTGCGCAAGTGGCACACTCGGCTTGTGGCGGAGCCAGGTGTGTAGGGTGCCTACCCGAGTGGGCACGCTATATTCATTCTGTGTTTCTGCCCGAGTGGCGGAGCCAGGTGTTTCGGGTCCCTGCCCGAGTGGCAAACCCAGGGTCCCTGTTCGAGTGGCAATCCCAAGAGTACTTACCGAAGTGGCACATTCAGCTTGTGTTTCTACTCGGTAGGCGGAGCCAGGTGTTTAGGGTCCGTGCACAAGTGGCAAACGGGTCCCTGCCCGAGATGCAAACCCAGGGCCCCTGCCCGAGTGGCGAGCCCAGAGTCCTTACCCAGGTGGCACACTCAGCTCGTGCTTCTGCTCAACTGGCAGACCCAGGCAGCGTGCCCAGGAGGAGGAGGAGGAGGAGGAGGAGGAGGAGGAGGAGGAGGAGGAGGAGGAGGAGGAGGAGGAGGAGGAGAGGAGGAGGAGGAGGAGGAGGAGGAGGAGGAGGAGGAGGAGGAGGAGGAGGAAGAGGAGAGGAGGAGGAGAGGAGGAGGAGGAGGAGGAGGGGAGGAGCAAGGAGGAGGAGGAGGAGGAGGAGGAGAGGAGGAGGAGGAGGAGGAGGAGGAGGGAGGAGGAGGAGGAGGAGGAGGAGGAGGAGGAGGAGGAGGAGGAAGAGGGAGGAGGAGGAGGTGGAGGAACAGGGGGGAGGAGGAGCAAGAGGAAGGCCGTCACATGTGACAGCTTTAGAGCTCTGATGGAACTCGTTTTGGCCGTCTTGGGGCTGTCTTGGCCTCCCGTGAGGTAGTCTTAGGGGTCCCTTGGGGCCTTGTTGGGCCGTCTTAGGGCCCTCTTTCGCCGTCGTGAGGCTCTGTTGGGCCGGCTTGGGGCCCTCGTGGCCGTATGATGGGTGCTTGGGGGCCGTCGTGGGGCCGTCTTGGCGCCGTCTTGGGCCGCCGAAGGGTCTTCTAAGGCCGTCTTGGGTCCCACGGGAGGTCCTCTTTGGCCGTCTTTGGGCCGTATTTGACGCTTCTTGGGCCAGGCAGCGTTTCGCTAGAGGGTTCTATTCGAGATCAAAGATTTCTCTCACCAGAATCTCCATATGGGGGGGCTGGGTGGAGGTGGCTCCCAGGCCCGGCGGTGGCCCAGCAGCGGCCCGGCAGCGGCCCGGCAGCGCGGTCCGGCAGCGAGTATCTACCCTGAGATGCAAGTTTCATTTCCACCGTGCAGAGACGGAGAGGAACCTTCGTTGGCGTTTTTGGCTCGAGGCTTAGCTGTTCAGCGAAGCTTCGAGGGCAATTTGAGGTTGGGGGCGGTTGCCTTCACACTACTTCGCTCGCGATGGCGAGGTTGGCCCTCCCAGGCGAGGAAGACCTCGTCACGCTCCACGGCTGGCCGGACGTGCTCGGCTACTGCTAGCTCTAACCGGCCGTGTGGACGCAGATCGCCCAGGAGATGGGCGACTCCACGCTCCAGAGCTTGAGCATCATCGCAACCCTTGACGGCGTGGATCTTGCCGAGGCTGCCTGGGAAGGCAATTTAAGGGGATTGCGACGACGAAGCTCAATATTGCAATCAACATTGCAGGCCTCAGGGTCGGAGTGGCGACGGCTGATATTTTCGGCCATGTGGGCGCCCAGGCTCCTGCTGGCGTCGCCTCGCAGGCTGTCGCCGGTGGCGCGCCGGCTGCGGCAGCGCCTCCGCCGGTCGTGCACGTGTTGAAGGTCAAGGACTACTACGACCAAGCCTCCCTCCTCACCGTGCAGCCTCTAGAGAAGGCGCGCATTGGCGAGATGCGGCAGCGACTTCAAGCCACGACGGTGCGCAGTGTGCCTGTGGGGATCCGTACACCAGTGACCAGATGTCCATCGTCGGCTTCTCGCCGACGCGAGCTACCCGATGCTGGCGTTCGACAGGGGCTGTGGGGCCCACAGGACGGGCGACGGCAGCGGGCCGCTGCCTTGTCTGCGCACGTCCAAAATGCGGCCGGCGAGTGGATCACCAAGGAGCTCCGGGGGCCACCGAACCTTGATGCTTGGATCGATGCGCGGGAGTTCGCCGCCGCCGGGGTCGTCATGGCCGACGTCACGGACCGTGCCGTTGAGGAGGGTTACGGCGATTTCTTCAAGGAACTATCCCGGCGCGGATGCGTGGGCAATCTGTGCGGACGCGGAGTGGACCTTCTGTTTGGAGTTCGCCAGTTCCACGGCACCAGCCCGGACATCTCGCTGTACGAGCCTGCGCGCCCGTGGAATTCGGTCTTCCTCGCGGGGGTTCGCGGGATTGACACCGTGAAGTTCTGGGAGGAGCACCTCAAGGAACCTGCGCGCAGGGTGTTGTACTCACGATCGAACGCGGGAGGCTCCGCGTCCTGGGCGGATGCTCAAACGGCTGCGTGCCACCCGGTGACCGGTGGCCTTGGCGGCTGGCGCCGGTGGGGCGGACGCGCCTCTGGGCAGCGGCGGAGGGACAGGCAGGTGGGCCAAGAAGAGCGCGGCTGAGGCGGCGCGGGCGGCTGCTGACGGCGGACAGCCTATCAGGTCAAGGCTCCCTCAGCCGCTAGTCCGGGGCCGCGGCAAGGGCGGCGAGGCTTCCGACCCGAACCTCAAGCGGGCCGACGGGCGCTACTACATGGACGAAAACGGCAGCGAGTGGTGCTACGCCTGGAACCGCTCGGCGACTGGCTGCAGCGACGGCGCCGCGTGCAGGGCGGCACAGAAGAGGGTCCATGCGTGCGAGTGGTGCCGCGGAACACACCGGGCAGTGCAATGCCCAGAGCACCCAGGGTGGACCCCGCCCCGCGCGCCTGGCCCAAGCGGCGGGGCCAAGCGCAAGTGATCCGAGTCGCCTGCCGCCCGTCCCACGCAGACGCCGGGCTGGGCGGCGCCGGGGGCCCCTGGCGGGGGCAGTGACGCTGGCGATGGCGTCGGCGAGCCAGCTCCCTCGGCTGGCGCATCCTGGCGGGAGCCCGCAAGACAGGGGCCTGCGCTCAAGCGCGCGTGCGTTGCCCGCGCGTCAGAGTCGGACGACGGTGGCGGCGGCGCCCTCGCGGAGCTCCAGCGAGGCGCGGCGGTTCGGAGTCGCGAGCCAGTCGCGCGGCCACGCCCGGACATTTGTGGATTTGTTCGGGCGGCGCGATCTGCCTCGTACATCAGCTGTCAAGCAGCGCAAGGCGCTGATCTTCGCTGAGACCGGCTGCGGCGAGATCCCCAGAGCCAGGGATCTTGTGGGCTCTGCAGCCAGAGCGATTGCGTTGGCTGGCAAACCGATTCAAGGGCGGCACAGTCACTTGGCTCCACCCGGCGCCAGCGGGGGCACTGGCAGCCGACGCGCGCGAGTGCGCTCAACGCCTGGCGCGCCACGCTCGGATGCAGCTTCCAGCCGGAGGCTACTTCGCTCTGGTACTCGACCGGTCGTCGGATCTGTGGGCGCTGGGTTGCTTGCAGCGGCTCGCGCAGTGCCGCGACGTGCAGCTGGTCGATCCAGCGGCTGGCGCGGTTGAGCCGGGCCGCAGCCGCGACGCGTGGCTCGCGAGCGCGCCGTGGGTCGGCCCGGGCCGCGTCAACGCCCTGGCGACGCTGCCCGAACGGGTCGTTCTCCCGCGTCTTCTTGACGCCGTGCGCGCCGAGCTGGCGGCGGCGCGGGGGTCAGATGGCAGGGCGCTGGCGGCGCAGGGCGACGCGGGGGTGGCGGTAGTGGATGTCAAAGACGTTTTCAAGCAGCTCGGTGTGGACGCTGCAGAAAGGCACCCCGCGGGCACGGCGACGCTGGGAGGACAGAAGGGGTATTTTTATTACGCGTGTGTTTTGTTTGGCGCGGTCCCAGGGCCACTGGTGTGGGGCCGGGTTGCAGCTGACCTCGCTCGCAAAGCTAATGCCATCCTTCGCCTTTTGTCCGCAGGTGCGCAGTGCTTCGTCGACGACCCGATCTTCGCGTTGGCGGGGCGCGCGGAGGTGCGCGATGTCCACTTGGCGCTCGTGCTCATGTTGTGGGCGGCCTTGTACTTTGAATTCTCGTGGGCGAAAGCGTCGAGAGGTTCGGAGGTCGATTGAATTGGCGCGCGTTTGGCCTGCGTGCACGAGGCCGGCCACGTCGTCGGCGTCACGGTTGCGGTCTCTCCAGACAAGGTCGCCAAAGTGGGCCGGGCGCTCGGCGAGCTCGCGGCGGACGCGTTCTGCGACAGGAAAGCTGTCGAGGAGTTCGATGGGCTGTGCTCCTGGGTGGGTAGCATCGCGCCGGCGGTGCGGCCACTCGCTCGCATGGTGTGGGCGGCGGCCTGCGCGCCGCCCAGCGGCCGGAAGACCGCAGGCAGGGTCGCCAAGGCGCGGATCAAGCTGGTGATCATTTGGGTGCGTGCGCTCCTGGACGACGCCGTCCTGGCGATCTCCAGGACGTTTTGGGTGGGCGGCGCTGGGGAGGGACCCATGTCGTTCCTGGAGACCGGCGACGCCTCTGCTGCGGCCGTCTGTTATTCCGTCACAAATTGGACCCTTGAGGACGCGACGGCGCCACAGGCTAAGTGGTTGGATCCAGCCGCCCAGCCGATGTGGGAAGCGTGCGCATCGCTCATCGCGGTCCACGCGTGGCGTGGCTGGCTGGGAGGGCGGCGCGGCCGTCTCCGGCTACGGGGCGATGCGAAGGGCGTTTTGCAGGCAGTCGTTCGCAGGCGCGGCCGCCATGCAGCCCTGAATCGCATCGTGGCCGAGTTGCTGCTGACCCTCGGCAGGGCGATGCGCGACATCGAGGCTGCGCATTTTCCGGTCAGAGCTCAATGCCGAGGCGGACGCGCTGAGCCGAGTCCACGAAGGGGCTGACGTACCCCAGCGTCTGACGCAAACTTGCACTGCGATGCTCCAGTGCGCCGACGCCCTTGGCGCATCCTCGATTGGGGCCGCCCTTGGCGTGCGCGCGTGCCGAGGTCCGGCCCCAGCGCGTGCCCGCGTGCCGTCGAGCAGACTGGCCGATGTGTGGCTGCAGTGCCCCGCCGCCGTCGGCGCGCAGGTTGGCCGAGTCCAGGCTCCACTGCTACCGCCGTGCACGTGGCCTGGCCGGGAGGTGTCGGGCAGGAGGGTGCTGTCGAGCGGACTGGCCGAGGTGCGGCTGCTGTGCTTCGCCGCGCCGACGTCGGCCGCAGACTGGCCGAGCATCGGCTCCAGTGCGTCGGCCATGCATTTTTTTTGGGGGGGGGGCTTGCCCGGAGGTGTCGGGCAGGAGGGCGCTGTCGAGCAGACTGGCCGACGTGGGGCTGCAGTGCTCCACCGCCGTCGGCGCGCAGACTGGCCGAGTCCCGGCTTCAGTGCTTTAACCTATCGCCGCGTATTTTTTCCGCTTGACGCCCCGAGTGAGGGCAGGGGGGGGTTGTTGAGCAGATTGGCCGATGTGCGGCTTGAGTGTTTCGCCGCCTTTCGGCGCGCAGACTGGCCCAGTCCCGTCTCCAGGGCTGCCGAGTCCTCGGGCGCGCGCGGCTGGTTTTTGCTGTAGGAGGGGGCAGGAATTGTTCGCTTTCTTCGTGCTCCAAGTTGGCGCCCGGAAAAGAAAAATGCTTGCGCTCGTCCGTCGTCGTCATCCCTTCCTCCTCCTCCTCCTCCTCGTCCTCCTCCTCCTCCCCTCCTGCCCTCCCCCCTTCCTCCCCCCCTTCGCCCCGCCCTCTTGTTTGCGCCCTCCGTGCTTGGGCGTTGCCCCCGCGGGCGCGCTCCCCGCGCTGTGGCTCCAGCGACGGCTTCCTTTCACATTTTGGCTCGTGTTGGCCCCCGTGGGGCCGCCGAGGGCGCGGCTCGGGAGGGCGTGCCGTCGTGTCGCATGGGTGTTCATTTCTTCTGCTCATCGCGACATGTTTGGGGCCCTCGACCGGCCGCTGACGCGCCCGACACCGCGGGTGGGGGAGCGCGACCCGCGCGCGGCCGTGGTCGGGGTGTCATCGTCGGTGCAGGCGTCCTTGACGGGGCGTGGGCGGCCTCGAGCTGCTGATCTCATGCTGCGTGGGGGGCCCCCGTTGCGCCCGCGCGGGATGGCGCCGGGAGGTGCGAGTGCGGTGTGGCATTTTTCCGTTTGATCGTGTTTCGAATTCCGCTCGGCCCATTCGCAGGCTGCTCTGGCGAGTTTGCCTTGGGTGGCGCAGGCGCGGTGCTGCCCGGAATCGCGGTGTCGCGGTTTCCGCCGGGCCCGCCTCCAGCGTGCAGTGCGGTTGTGGTCGCGAGACGCCTTCTCTTCGGTGCAGGTCCCGTGGGCCCGGGGCCCAAAGGGGGGCCCCCGCTGCGCCCGCGCGAACGGGGTTTGGGGGCGCTATCGGCCGCGCGGCCGGGACAGGCGCTATCGGCTGAAACTCCGTTGCCGCTTGGTGGCAGTCTGCCGTTGCGGCCCCCGGCGTGTCCGTAGAGCCAGAGGCGGCCTTTGCCCGCCGGCGGGTTCCGCAGCGCGTGCGACCATGCGGCGGCGCGCGCGGTTGCTTGGCGCGGCGGATCCGCCCATGGTGCGTCTATCTGGATCTTCGGCGTCGGTCCAGGTTCCGCCCGCCAGTGCCCGGCGTTTGGCGCCGGTGCGGAAAGCTTATCGGTGCGTTGCAGCCGCTGGCCTCGATGCTGGGGGCGATCGCGGTGCCGTTCGCACACTGAGGGCCGCCAAGTTCGCTGCTTCATCGCGCGGGGCGGTGCGCTCCCATTCTCGTTGATGGGATCAACGTTGCGAGGCTCGTGGGTGGCGCGCTGCGTCAGTCGAGCACAATATAATAATGACGACCACCACGAAGATCGGGAATAATCTACGATGCGATTTGGTGCAGGTTTGCTCTGGTGAAAAACCCGCAGCCCCCCTCCCGCCGCGGACGGCAACCAGGCTGCCCTGTCTCTCTTAAGGGCCGAAGCAGAATTCATCAAAGCACGCGCGTTGGTGGTGTATATAATTTTGGTTACAAGGAGGTGCGTTTTTTATTTACCACCACCAAGAAGTGCTCTTTCTGCTTCAGGAACTCCCCATGCCACGGCGCTTGCGCGCTGCGCCGCGCTCCTTTTCGCCGCGGCGTCGCAGCGTCGTCTGACATGGCCCTGCCCCTAACCATTTTTGCGAAAAAATCATGGCTGCGGATGGTGGTAGTGTATAGAAAATTGGTCTCGTGAGTTTCACCTCGACGCCTCGAGCTGGGTCGTGGGTCCCGCCTACTTGTCGGCCATGAAGAGGCACCGCGTGGTACGTGCTTTCCGCTGGGCGGCGTTACGCGTGCAGTTGCAGAGCGACTGCCCATGCGGCGGGGGCGAGCCCCTGCCAATCAAGCGGCCCCGTTGCCCATCGAGGAGATCGTGGAGGCGTCGGCGTCTCCGGAATTCTGCCGTGCTGTGCGGCCTTATTGGCCGGTCGCTGGCGCGGACGCGGCCATCGTGGTGCGCGCGTGGGTGATGCGGGAGATCGCGCTGGGGGCGGCAAAGCTGCCCCAGGCTATTTTCCACCGGCCAGAGCAGGCATCGGATGGCCCATGTGTGTGGGCTGAGTTCGACCTTCCAGCCTCCAAGTGCGATCAGGAGGCGAATGGAAAAAGGCGCGCCCTCGACTGCGCTTGCCCGTCGCCGCTGCGCCCAGTTGCGGCGTTCAGCCGCGCGGCGCGCGCCGCCAGCCAGGCGGCGGCGACGCAGGGTGCGCCAGCCCAGGGCGCTCCACTTTTTCCAGTCCGCAAGGGCGGTCTCGACTCGAAGGGCGATTTCATTCGCTTCTTCCAGGATGCCTCGGCGATGGTTGCGGTCGACGTGGCTGCGATCTCAGGGCGCTCGCCGCGAGTGGCGGGCGCCCGTCGCATGGCATTAGCGGGTGTGCATGTCTGGGTCATTCAACTCTTCGGCCAGTGGGGCTCGGATGTGGCCCTGTGGTATTGTCGCGAGGTGTCCTTGGGGCGGAGGGCTCATGGAAACCGTCGAGTCTCAGCTCGCCTCTGACGTCGGAGACCTCCGGGGGCGGATGCCGCAGGTGCTGGCGGGCGGGCGCGCGGCGCCGTCGACTTGGGCGGCGCTCGCGCAGGGTGCCGGGTCAGGGGGCGACGTGGGGGCCGAGCTCGCGACGCAGGGGACGCGACCTCGTTGTGCTGATTTCGGCGGCGGCGCCCCGCTTGAGCACGTGGCCGACGAGTTGCTGGAGTCGATGGTGCTCGAGACCGCTCGTGAGCAGGCGTCCCTACTTACAGGGCATCGTGACGCGCTTGTTCTGGATATCGAGTCACGCTTTGCAGATGCTAATCGAGCGTGACTTGATCATCGCTGGTGAGCGTCCTCCTGGGTTCGTCAAGTGCGTCGCAGGGAAGATGCGCATCGGTGCGACTTTCACGCGCGCTCGCTGCGGCTGGGAGTTCGGGCCGCATGGTGAGCCTAGGCTGTGCGAGCCTGATGGTGGGAACGAAATTTGTAAGGCCTGCCTTCGCTCGCGTCGGTAGGCTGGCGGGGTGCCGGAGATCGCGCTGTTCAGCGCGGGCGCCTCTGCCAGGGATTGGCGACTGCTGCGCTGGAAGGGCCCCAGCGTATAGCCAAGCATCCCCACTGCCGCCATTTATACGAGCGGAGGGTGGGCGGTGTTGCTCTTGGGTGGAAAATGAAGCGGGTATCTACCATGTGATGTGATGCGCGCGCGTTTTATCTCCACCATTGCATTGGGGGGCGGGGGGGGTGCAGAGACGGAGAGGAAACCCCGTTGGCATTTTGGCTTGAAGCTTGGCTGTTCAGCGAAGCTTCGAGGGCAATTTGCCCACCCACCCAGCGTCCATCTTTCTTGTTGTAGCGCGTTTCGCGCATGTGGCGAGGCGCCAGCGATCGCGCTGTTCAGCGCTGGCGCCTCTGCTGGGGATTGGCGACTACTGCGCTGGAAGAGCCCCGGTGTATGGCCAAGCATGCCCACTGCCGACCTTTATACGAGCGGAGGGTGGGTGGTTTTGTTCTTGAGTGGAAATTGAAGCGCTCATTATGTTGTTTTTGGCTTGATTTCACGGTCCGGCGGCACTGACCATGGTGTTCCGGCTCCATTTCGCCCAGAAGTGAGTCTCACGATGGCGTTCCGGTTCGATATCTTTTCACTAGAGTCCACAAGGGAGGCCGGGGGGAGGCGTCTCGCTGGTCCGACGGTGGTTTGGCATCGACTCAGTATGGTGTTCTGGCTCGACTTGAGCTTTCGCAGATCCAGAGATGAGACTCACTCTAGTGTTCTGGCTCGATTTGGTCCAGAAATGCGGATTTCAGCGTTCCCAGAGAGCCACTATCGTGTTCTGGCTCGTTTGGTTCCAGAAGTGGGACTCACTATTGTGTTTTGGCTCGATTTCAATTCAACATTTTTTCACCCGAATCTCCACAGGCGGGGCCGAGTGCTCTGGCTCGATTTCAGCTCTCGCAAATCCAGAAGTGAGATTCCCTTTGGTGTTCTGGCTTGATTTTGTCCAGAAATGAGTCTGGCTATAGTGTTCTGGCTCGATGACTCACTGAGGTATTCTGATTCGGTTTGCTCTTGTGTTCTGGCTCGATGTCAGCTCAAATATTCCTTGCGCGCAATCTCTTCAGTCGGGGCCGATTGTTTTGGCCCGATTTTAGCCCTCGCAGATCCAGACATGAGATTCGCTGTGGTGTTTCGGCTCGACTTCAGCCGTCGCATGTCCAGAAACTGTGGCAGGGGCAAAGGAGTCTCACCATTCCAGCTGTCCTAGGTACAGTGTGGCAGGGCTATCGGCTTTTCACAATCTCAGCTGCCAGGACGGGGGTCCTTCGGTCCCTAATGCTGTTCCGAGCGCGTCCATGACACCACGTCGATATCAAGGACGTCGCCTTCACCAGCAAGTTAATTTCCGTAATCGTGTCGTCAATCTTATGAGGTCGTTCTCGCAAGCCGACGTTTCAAGCGTCCATCCGCCTCCGCACCTTTGCTGCTATTCGGGTACTTTGCTGGGGTATTTGTTTTTTGGGCCATCTTGGGACTCTCTTGAGGGCTTCTTGGGCCGTCTTGGGGCCATCGTGAAGGCTTCTTGAGCCGTCTTGAGCAGACGGCCGTCCGAAACGATGATAATGCGGAAAGCGTTTGAAAACCAAAGGGGGATCGCTCATGTTGGCTTCTTCGGACCCTGTTGGAGGTCGTCCCGCGGCCCCTTACTTGCCCTCTCGGAGGCATCCAGGGCCGCCCTGGAGCCAAATTCGACCGCCTTGAGGCTATTTTGGGCCGTCTTCGAGGCATCTTGGGCGATCTTGGGGTCCCTGGGTGTCTGCGTGGGCCGTCCTGGAAACTCAAGACGTCTTGAGTTTCCAGGACGCGTACCCACAGATTTTGACAGAGGATCGTGGCGTCGGGAGCGCGGCTTCGTGGTTTTCTGCGATGGACGGTGGCCTCGGGGGGGAGGGGGGCGCGTGCAGCTGTCTGCTGGTAGAGGGAGGGGAACCTTTGATTAGAACTCAAGAGAGCTAGCCCCTGGCGTTCTTCCACGCCTCGTCAGGGAACGCGTTTGCGGATCCGCCAACGCGTTCCCTGACAATCTCTGATTGTGTGACGATCTCTGGGTACGTGTTTCATTGCGGCGTGGAGCCGAGCTTCTGTATGAGGATGGAATTGCGCGGCCCATGCGCTTGCCATATGAGAGGAGTGCCCTTCGGGGTCGGAAAACGGGTCGCCATCGCAGCCACGTCTGACGCTTGCGATGCGTTTCCACATGAGCAGTCCTGCGCAATCCCGTTGGCATGACGCGTGCGTCCAAGAGCTTGCGCGGTCGCCGAGAAAAGCCAGCTGTGTGCACGCGCGTGTACTCGCGTGTGCGAGTCGAGGAGCTCGCCGGCTGTCCTGCCCATGTGACTGTCACCTTTCGCGAGCTTCCCCCTGCAGAGGCGTGCCCGTGCAGTGCTACACCTTTGCCACGCCGCCCTGCTTGGACCGGAACACGGCGTTGCAGTGTGCGCGCCTCAGCTAGGGGATCGGGGAGCCCACTGAGTGGTCTGGCTCCCAGGGACCATGAGCGCGTCCCCACTTGCAACAACAATTGGAGGCCGGCCCGATGGTCGCTTTCCATCTATGGCCGTTCGGGAGCTAAGAGCACATCTGTGGGGGTGTTTGGCTGAATCGAGGTCCACGAGCGGTCCGGGGGTAGCCCATCGGTGCTCTTTATCTGGGTTGGCATGTTCTCTGCGGGACGGAGGGGGTTGCAGCTCCTTATGGGCCTGAGAGGTGTGGCGACTTGAGGCGGGAACGTCATGCGGGCACCCCTATCGGGGCCGCAGATTGAGCTCCCCAGGTCATGGTCCGTGTGAGGGATGCGCCGAAACGAGGTGGGGACACAATAGGAACGACGTAGTTGCGGCTCCGTATGTGGCACGATCCGTGCAATGGGTGTGTGCCGAATTGAGGCGGAGACGCCATAGGAAGGCCGCCACTAGGGTACAGGTGGAGCTCCCTATTGGGTGCGATTCGTG